CGCCGGAGCGGGCCCTCCGGAGCCAGCGAGGCGGAGCGGCGGGCCGCTCACCACCCCCCGCGCTCCCGGAAGCGCCGGCGCTGCGTGCCATGGTTTCCATGGAGATGGAAGATGGCGCCCAGAAGTAAGTGCGGGGGGCGCGGGACCAGGCCGAGTTCCCCCAGCCTCCGCGGGGGTCACGTGACCCTTCTGGGCCCACCCTACTGGTCCCCCCCGCAGGTCCAGTGGCCAAAGCCCCCGGGAGCCGCCCCCGGCGCTGGGCAGTGGTGGGCGGCGGGGTGGGGGGCGATGGGCCCAGCCCTCGAGCGGAGAAAGGCAGAGCAAGACCCGGGGCCTGACGTCGGAGCTGGGCGCGGCGGCTGCAAACGGGGCGGGGGGCGCACCCGGGGACGGCCGGGCGAGGACCCTGCGACAGCACCCGGCAGTTGCAAGAAGGAGGGCGGACCAGCTGCTGAAACTCCTTTGTGGCGCCAACATCTGTTAGGGGGGCAGCTCCCAGCCTCAGCACAGAGCAGCCCCTCGCCGCAAAGCGCTGACAGGCCAAACGGGCAGCGAGAGCGGGGGTGGGGGGTTATGTTATCCCCAGCTTAGCAAGAGGAAACGGAGTAACTTGGGATCAGATGTGTCTAACGCAATTTCTTTGCAGATGGGGGTGTAGAGGGGATCATTTGGTTACAGTCTGATGTCTTGAATGGCGGAGGCTAGAGGACCTCCCCCCCACAACTGTGTTTTGAACCAGAACGCGTCTCAAAGAAACCCCTTTGCCTTGGTTTAGCAGCAGCCAGGGAGGTAGAAGCTGGGGGAAAGCTGTTCCGACGGTTACTTGCCTTCACTGCTCAAGACACGCACCTTATTTCCAGGCTAATGGTGGCAGGCTTCAGGTTCCAGCCCCAGGAGCTTGTGTGTTTGCTTGCAGCCAGGATGCTGAGGTTGGAAGCTAGGCCTATCATTACACAGAGATGGTGGTCCCAGGCTCATCAGGAACTACAGGCCCCCTCAGTGGGTGGAGAGCAGCCACTACATGAAGGATGACTAAGTGTTTTGGATAAGGGATGAAAGCACAGGAACGGGAGCACAGGTCAGAGGTTGGTAAGGAGGGCGCCGAGAGAGATCACTGAGCAGGAAACGCCAGTTAGTGCCTGCTGCCCCTTGAGCGGATCCAGGGAGTCTGTGGATGCTGCTTAGGGACGTTCTTCTCGGAGGCGTGCGTGGGCAAGGAAGGCGCCCCAGTTCCCCTCGGCCAGCACCTTCTTTCTGGCTGGGAATGGGAGTCTGGTCCCAGCTCTGCCACAGATCTGAAGGCAAGTTGCTTCACTTCTCTGGGCCTCAGTTTCCCTACCTGTAATATGGGGGCAGCTGCCTTCCTTCACAAAGTGCTTTGGGATCAGCAGATGAACAGGGCTAGAGTAGGGAGCCCGTCACATTGGTTTGTTCCTCACCCACTGCCAGGGTGTTAGCACCAGGCCCTCTGAAGACCTCGTTAGGTCCCTACTTGCATTTTAGGATGCTGAGGAGCCCTTTTAACACCAGCCCTCAGCAACTTGCCCAGTTCCCATGGAGCTGGGGATGGAGGAGCATCCTAGATTCCTTGCACACCAGTTCAGGGCCTTCACCACCTTTCCTCTTGTTCAGCCCCATGCATTTGATGCCCCCAGAGAGCTGTGCAGCTCCTCAGCCAAGGAGGAGGGAGCAGCATCTTGGGAAAATATATACGACCCTTTCCTCCTTCTTGCTAAGGTGCCCTACCTGTTCATGCTCTGCTTGCTTTCTCCACCCACCCCCCAGGTCGCCAGCTCTCCTCCACTCCATTGGAAATCCTGCTGTTCCTCAATGGTTGGTATTACGCAACCTACTTCCTCCTGGAGATCTTCATATTTGTCTATAAGGGTAAGAGTCCTTCCCAGGCGCTTGTATGTGCTGTAGCCCACCACTGATTGCATTGGGCATCAGATGCTGCCCACTGTGCCCACAGGCTGATGGGAGAGCGACAGAATGAGCTGACCCCTGCATACTTACAGAGGCTTCCCTAGCACCGCTCCAGTCCATCCATCTACATCAGTGGCCCCAGCCCCCTGCAGGACTGCACCTGAGCAGGGAGGGGTGGGAGAAAGCCAGAAACTTTGCAGTTTGGCTCAGGCAGGAGCTGTTAGACAGCCTGTCTTCCCTGGGCTTTGTAACCTCTCTGACCACTGGCACATCCCTAGGGCTTATCAGTTTATTCAGTGGGTAAGGGACAGTGGCACCCCAGAGAGAAAGGTGGGGGTGTGGCCTTGCTCTCCTCCTGAAAGGGATGGCCTTTGTGCCACAGGGCTGCTGTTACCTTACCCATCTGCCAACCTGGCCCTGGACCTGGTCATGCTCTTCCTCTACCTTGGCATCGAAGTCACACGGATATTTTTTGGTGAGTATTTAGGAAGAACAGGGCCAGGTGCCACCTCATGATAAGAGCCTGGGGTGGGCTTGGGCTGGTGACAAGCAGTTGTCAGACAAATGGCTTTTGGTCCCCACCACAGGGTCACTGTCCTAGGGCAAAGGGGCTCCTCACTTCAGCCAATTGGGCGCCCAACAAGAACCCAACTGGGCATCCAACAAGAACCAGTACCATAGGGAGGAATCTCCCTGTACCACATTCCTGGCCTGTGGCCAGTGCCCTAGAGGCAAAGAACCCTTTACCCAATTCCCGGGCTCCGTGGGCAGGCAGATCCTGAGCACCACCTCTTTGTAGGGAACGACACGGGCTGTGCATGAGATGCTCACAGCCATATTTCATGACAGGCTCCAAGGGGAACCTGTGCCAGCGGAAGGTGCCACTCTCCATCAGCCTGGCCCTGACCTTCCCAGCGGCTGTGATGGCAGCCTACTACCTGCTGCTGCAGACCTATGCCCTGCGCCTGGAGGCCATCCTCAATGCCATCCTCCTGCTCTTCTATGCTGTGGAGCTGCTCCTGGGCATCCTCACCCTGGCCTCCTTCTCCAGGTAACTGTTCCTCTGCTGTAGGGGGAAATGAGTTGGGTAGGGGAGGAAGACCCTGGGTAGCCCAGTGGAAACAGAGCTGGGGATGGCTGAAGAAAGAGTCTGGAGTGTAACCTGTGGCCCAGAAGGAAAAGTAGAAGAGAAAAGGCTTAGAGTACAGAGAAAGGAGGCCATGCATATGACTAGGAGCCAGGCTTCCTGGATTCCTTTCCCAGCATGATTGTCCTCTCTGTCCCCCAAAACGTAGCAGTGACACTTCTCTCTCCCAGCCAGCTGCCTCCCCAGAAAGTTGAGAAGCAAGAGTATGGGGAAAAAGCTAGGGGTTTCCATTGTAGGGGGAGTTGCCCCTTCATGTTAGACTTGGAGATGCTGCTGTGGCTGCTGTTAACCCCACCCTTTCTCTCTGCAGCGTGGACTCATATTGAGGCTCTGCCTGGGCTGCTTGGTGACAGGCGAGGTGATGTAGCCCCTGCCCTCCTCCCCCAGTGCCCCTCTCCATGCTGCTGGGCTGATCACTGCCTCCAAGGGGTAGACTCAGGCCCTTGGAGCAGAGCTACACATGGCTGCAGCCTCATTCCACCTCTGAGCCTTCCTGAGCAGAGCGCCCCACCAGCCTTCTGGAGAGGGTCTGACTTCATACCCCAGACTCAGCAGCCCCCATGGGCATGAGGCAGCTCTCCCCACCCCCAAGCACCACCCTCTCCAACCAGCTGGGCTCCTGGGGCTGCCTGCTTGGGGAGCTGCTGCCTAGTCCCTGGCCTGGCAGCTTGGGTAGGGGTGTGTCTCAGCCCCAGGATGTGAGGCCAGGGGCCATGTAGTATAGCTCCCCACTCCTGCCCCCAGTACTGCCAGTACCTGCTGTGTGTCCCATTCCATCATTGCAGGTGTGTGCATTTTGGTGTGGTCCTGTCTATTGCATGTGTGCAGTGACCACAGGGGAGGCCTTACCCCTCCCCCTCTGGGACCTTTCTGCCCCTCCACGGGGCTAGGGAGGAGGGCTTGGTGCCCCTCCCCCCAGACTCAGTGTTATTCCCTGTATCAGTAACTCGTGGCACTTTTTTTTTCTACTGCATCGTTGGAGGAATGACTATTTTCCAAATAAATATTTATTTTCTATACGGGTGCTGCTTGGAGCCATCACAAGGGCAGGACTCCCATTAGGGGGCAGTGGGGAGCTAGCTACCCACCCAGGTGCATTCAACACCAAGCCACCAGCAGCATGCCTGGCCCAGCCCCATCAAGGTGCAGAGGTGCCCCCCTGCTCTGTAGAGCCTGGTGCACCTGTCTATCCTGAATAAGCATCATCAACCCTCCCCACTTCCTGATGGGCCAGGCTCAGGCAGCCTGAGCCAGGCAAGGCCTGCCAGTGCCCCACATGCCAGCCTGCTGTGTACAGCCTGAGGCCTTCACCCCATGCCCCCTCCCAATTGGATCCATCCACAGAGGGGTGAGCAGGACAGCTCTGGGATGGCTGTGCTGGGGCACTGGATGGGAGTGAGGGGTGGGGGTCTCAGCATCTCGGAGGCAGCATACTAGCCTACAGAAAAGAGGTTTATTTCCAGGCTGGTTGTCAGAGCCACAGGCCCTCAAAAGTGGAAGTGTGTGGCAGCCCCAACATCAGTTGTCCCTGTCCACAGGCGGCCCCCACCCTCTGCCACCAGGTACTTGTTGTTGGGAGCCTTGATGGCTAGGCAGCCTGAGGCAACAAACTGAAGTGTGAAGTTGCTGCCCTGGTCGCCGTTTGCCATGATCAGCCCATTCTTGTCAATGCTCCAGTACTTGTTAGCTGCAAGGCAAATGGGGGCAGTTAGTGCCAGGACAGGGGGTGCCAGGGATGGGAGGAAATGCTTAGTGCACCTTAACCTGGGGAACAGCTCATCGCAGGCCTGGCTACATCATTGGGGCATGAGGGCACCATTCTCCCCTGCAGGACTGGGCAGTGGCTACTTGGCCAGCTGGGAAATCCAACAGTTGACTGGCTGTGACACCAGTGAAAGGACAGCCACTGCTATGGTGCCCCTTCCTCTAGTGGGGAAGCCACACCCTATGCCTTGGCACAGACACCCCAGTGCTTCTGCTTCCTGGCACAGATGTATCCTGGTACCCATTCCCTAAGCAGATGCACCCTCCTGCCCACACCTCCTCACCGATGCAGAAGTGGTAGAAGCCGTCCTCGTTGAGTGTCACGGTGTTGACATCAGGAGCTGGGCGGTTCCCGTCCAGGCGCTGTGTCCCGGGGCTCCGGCCCACGAAGCCGGCCTCGCTCTGCAGGATCAGCTGGGGCCGGTTCACCAGCAGCAGCAGGAACTCCTCCTTCTTGCCTGCAGGCACAGGTTAGCCCTGACTGCCTGGACAGGCCTGCTTGGGGCATGGGGCAAAGGCCATAAGGCCTGGAAATGCCACATCATGTGGAGCTTGATACAGGGCCAGCACGGAAACGGAGGTGAGGGGGCACACCCGAGCTCTCCTGCCAACAGCAGTGGTGCTCCCAAGGCAGAAAGGGTAAAGCCACTGGGTACCGGAGGTCCTTGACGCTGCTGTTGGACTAAGCACGCTCTCGTTACAGAACAGGCAGGACCTAGCCTGTACTGCCCCCTCCACCCTGCCCTGCTGGGGCTGGCAGACCCCCAACAGCTAGGGTAGGCCTTGGCTGTAGGTGACAGAGCAGCTGGGTAACACCCCAGACCCTCATGCTTGGGTTTGCAGACTCCTGCCTGGCAGGGGTTGGATCCACCCCCAGATCTGGAGCAGGGTCCCCCACAGTCTCTCCTTTCCCCTGCCGAGAGGCATCCCCTCACCTCCTTCCCCCCAGGGGCCCAGTTTCATACCTGCTCCCTCAGGCAACAGTAGGATCTGCCCATTGGGCCTTAGGGCCACATATCTGCCATCAGCTGCTTTCAGTGTCACCTGCTGCTCCTTGTACTGGAGCTCAAACCACACCTGCTTGGACTGGTTGGTGCAGCTCACCATACCATCGCTGGGGCTCTGTGGGGAAGGCGCAGGGCTCAGACCTTCCTGTGCTCCAGGACTGCACCCGACAAGAGCTTCCACATACACGCCCCCCTCCCCCAGGCACCTTCCTCAGGCCCAGGTGCAGGAGCCAAGTCCCTGCCAACCCCAGGCCAGGGTTGGGAGGGACACTATAGGGAATCCGCCTACCCCAGACCCCGAGCTGGAGGAGCTTAATGGGCTGGTGGTGCCTTCCCAGCAAATGATGGGCTGGGCTGCAGTACTAGGGCAGGGAAGAAGCAATATTACCCTGCCCTGTGAGGCCCATCACTTGAGTCTCCCTGTTCCAAGGGAGGGTGATGGTGACATGCTTGCTCCCCAGTGGCAAATCACAGTGCTGCACTACAGTGGCCAGTATGATGCCCAGCAATGCAGGTGGTTCTACCCACCTCCCCACTTCCAGCCTTGGGTGCACTCACTGTGGCCAGGTAAGCACCAGAGAAGCTGCGGAAACAGGCCTGCTTGGCATCGTTCAGCAGTAACTGGAAAAGCTCCGTATTCCCAACAGACATGGTGTTGGCGTAGACATCAGCCCCTGCAGGCAACAAGCAGCTCATGGAAATATGGTGATGGGACATGCCACTGTTTCCCAACTGCTAGCTCCACCAGCTCCTTCAACCACCAGAGGATGGGGGCTTGGGAAGGATGGCACAGGGAAAGGGGCCCAAGCCTAGAGGAGGAATCATGCTGGCAGCACACAGTGCCCAAGGGCCAACAGGCAGCACGGAGAGCACACTGAGCCTGCCAATGGGCAAAAGGCCAGAACAGCAGGTCTAGAAAGCACAAAATGACCTGGTCATCTTTTATGGTCAAATCCACTCTGAAACCTAATCCTGACAATTTAGGGATCAACAGCAAAGACCACAGTGCTATGCACAAACTCAGCCACATGGGGCAGTGTCCCATACTCGGCATGATCTGGGAAAGAGGGGAGCCTTGTTTAGAAAGGGGTGGAAGCTGTGCAGAATTTGTATCAGGCACAACTGTCATGCAAAGTATCCTTGAAGTACCTAGCTAAAGACAGCCCCTGCCCTGAAAAGGAGAAGAGAAAGGAAGGGCACCACTGTCAACTTGACTGTACAAGTGAGACCCACAGAGGTGAAGTAACTTGCCCAAGTCCACCGGTGCAGGTTGTGGTGGAGCTTTGAACCTCGATCTCACCAGTGATAGCTCAATACAGTAGCCCTAGGCCCTTTCAGAAGAGCTTCCTACCCCAGGTGGAGCAAGACACACCTGCTCTGCCTGTATCAAGAGCAGCCTGGTGCATAAACCAAGCCCCCAGCAATGCCCACAGGGGCAACACCAGCACCCTTGTTTACCTGGCCGGCAGCAGACATAGCGGCCACTGGAAAAAGTACGAAGCGAGACCAGAGCAGGGCTGGGCTCCAAGGCAAAGAGCTCATCGCGCCCAGGCCTGTCTATCTTGAAGGTCTTGACAGCGCTCTCCCGATCTGTCAGATACTTGCCGTCCACATCCTGCAGGGCCACTAGGCCGCCCTGCAGCTCCAGTGTGTAGAGTGAGTGGGCAGAGGGATCATCCACCAATGACCCATCAGCCGCCAGCATGCTCCCTGCCCCACTGCGCAGCCCATACTTCTTCTCTGGGGCAGCAAGGCAGAGATGTCAGTGAAGTGGGAAGAGAACCAGACCCCAATGCACTGTTTTCCACCCCCCCACCCCCATGCTCTACTTCATCGAGGGACACCAAGTGCTGGCACCCATCATTGCATTACACATGCTTCCCTCCTTGCAGTGCCCAGCTCCCCACATCCCTTCTGTTGCCCCCTTAGCACCCAGTGCCACTCTCCCACCTGCCCCCATCCCCATATCCTACTCCCACCATACCCTTAATGCCCTGCTCCCCACCTTACTTTCACTCTTCTCCATCTTCACACCCCTCCCGTGGCACCCATCAGCCCCCACACTAACCTTCACACCCAGCCATCATCCTTTCCCCCAGTCATCTCCCCTGTCCCCCGACTAGGCTCTGTCCCTGCTCAGTCCCTCGCAGGGGGGCAAGGGCAAGAGCAAGCAGGAGGGAGAGGCAGTCTCTGCTACACCCACCTTTGAGGTCGAAATGGAGGGTAAAGATGGCATCGGCACCCCAGGGCAGGTCACGGTCGCAGCGCACGCGCCCTGTCTGTGTATCGCAGCGCAGGTAGCGCTGCTTGCCAGGGCTCTGCACATGCATGGTGGGGTGCAGGGCCAGGTGCAGGCTCCACTTCTCACCCTCACTCGCGGCTTGGGCAAAGCAGGTGATGTTGTCCTCTGCCCCACCTAGGTAGCGCTTGGTGGCCTCACACTGCAGCGACACCTGCCCAGGAGGGGTCTGGGGTCATGGAGACTGTCCCACCCTGCCAGGAGTCTGCCCAAGCACCCACACCATGCCTACCCCAGCGCTAGGGGGCACCAGTGTGAGGGGAGTGGTACTGCCCAGGCATGGCTCAGCCATACCAGTCACATGGAGGTGCAAAGACATCTGGCTTAACCTGAGTCATCCCATACCTATAGGGCTGCAGTGCAGCAGAGGTAGGTCCTGGCAGTGCTCCCTTCCCTCTCCATCACTGATGCTAGGATCCAGTAGGCTCCTTACCCTGGAAGACTTGGCTGGAGGTGCAAAGGCTTATGCGTATCCCACAGAGTTGGCATGGGCTGTAGTGGTGGGGGGCAGGAAGGCAGGGGGTCCTATGTTTTTGAGCCTAACAGTTCCCCTGGAGGATTTTTTCCTGCCTGACATGCAGCCACAAGTTCAGTGTCCCTCAGGGGTCAGAGCCACTTGGTCCCATGACACTCCCAACCCCACCACCCCCTGCAGACCCCTCATGCCCCCTGGCACCACCTCAGCCCATGTTCGGAGCACTCACGCCCTTTGTGGCACAGCCAAGCCACCTCCTATGCCAGGACAACTCCATCTGGGTTTCCCAACCTTTGCACCTCAGGCACAGATGTGGCTATGGCTGGTGCCCGCCACCCCATCCTCCACTTGTGACCTCAGAAGCTGATGGGAGGAAGGGGCTGCTGGCTTCTGCCCAACAGATAAGAGCCCCACCAGCCTCTCCCCCAGATAAGGCTACACTAAAGTCCACTCCCACTTCCCGAGCTGGCCAACCCCCTACCCTCAGTCTGCAGCAAAGGGACCCTGTGAGCATATGGATAAGCACCAAGGTATTCCTGTGGGCAGAGGCATAGCAGTGCTCCTCCACACCTTGGGCAGCACCTGCTCCTGCTGTGACAACTGTGGTGGCATGATCAACCACTGCTGCAGCTATGGCTGCTCTTCCCCCTGCCCAGCTGGACAGCAGAGGGACAGACACTGGTGGGAGTTTGTCTGACTAGGGTCAAGTGGATAGGGGAGGGGGAAGGACTGTAACCCCCACACTTCCCCTGGGGTTGCCACCCCTACAGGATTGCCCTGGAGTCTCCAGGAATTAGATATAAATCTTCAGGAGACTGCTGAGAGTCACCCAGGAGATAAATGATAGGGCATTCATTAAAAAGAATATATTAACGTGTTGAATCTAATTTGTAGAATAGTCCAGTGGGTTTTCAAAATGTAATAGTAATGCATGTTTTCCTTCCTGACTTAAAGTATATGCACTGTAATCCATAACTGATATACACAAGCACACGGGCACATTCGCATTGTGTCGCAGGCATGTTCGCGTTCTGGAAACCTCCCAGAAGAGATTCAGAGTTGGCAACCCTAACTTCTCCTCCCATGAGTTAGAGGCACCCTTACCCTCACACTCGGGCAGTGACCTCCCCCTTGAGACCACTCAGGCCTTGTCTAAAGCAGAGAGGTCAGCTGGGTGGGCATCAGAGCACATCCCTGCTCTTGTGCCAGAAGGAAGCCCCCCCACCCCCCCATGCCGTGCCAGTGCAGGAAACTCAAAGGGGGCCAGGAAACAAACTTATTTCAGCTACTGCCTGAGCCCCCCCTATGCCTCCCCCCATAACTCTCTGGGGCACAGGAGGGTCACCAGGTTGACTGCAGTCCTGTTGGGACTGCACCATGGCTGGGCACTCTACAAGAAAAGAGGAGCTGCCTGGCAAGACGTGTAGATAGGACCCTCAGCTCCTGCTTGGGCACAGGTTGGGGGCAGCCCGGTTACGCACCTTGCCATCTGGGTACTGCCACAGCAAGAAAAGGCAGCCAGAGTTCGGGCTCTCTTGTTTGCAGGTGACTTTGCCATTGGCATCGGCTGCCAGGAAGCGTTTCAAAGAGCTGAGCAGATGCACAGGCTGCCCGCCCTCCACAGGCCTCGCTGCCCCAGCCCCCTGTGCGGATGTGAAGCTCAGTGTCCAGATCTGGGAGGGTCGCAGCACCGAGCTCGTGGCCATCACCTGGAAGCGGAAGGGCTCAGCACTCAGGTACCGGTTGGCTGCATTGATGAAGCCGCAGGGCAGTGAGGAGGACTCAGTGGAGACTGCCATGGGGCTCACGCTGCTCCTGCTCCTCACACCTTGGCCACCACCATATGGGTGCAGCACTGCATGGCCCCGCACACAACAATGGGTGCCTGGCAACCACAGGCTCCGCCCCTCCACTGCACTGGCCCTGCCCAGTTCTGGACCAGGCATATCTTTGCCTGCAAGGGGCCATGCCAGGAGAGTTAACCCCATGACCCTGAGCCCCAAAGACTCAAGAGAGAGGCAGACACCCCCTATCTCTCTGCAATGCTCCATTCCCAGGATTCAGGCCCCTGCCCAAGTGGCTCTAGACCAAGCTAAGAACAGGTAAGGAGATGTTCCAGCCCGTGTGAGCCAGGGACCAATGGGTCAGACCCACAAGATACACAAGGTGGAAGGAATGTGGCTCTGGTGACTAGTTGTGTTCAAGGCGGTGCAGCTACATTGTAATAGCCAAGAGAACCATGAAACCCACTTCCTTCTCACCACAAAATTGTTCTCCAGCATCTGAGGCCATTGCAGGTTAAACCAGTAGGGGAGCTGCTTGCAGAACCCCCATCGTAGGGGCCGAGACCCCCAGCAGTGCTCCCTGCCATTGGCAGTCTGGCCATTTAGCCCATTTTTGTGTTACTGCTCAGCACCTCCTCTCTTCCTCTCCCCAGCAGGTAGCTTCCAACACACAGGAGACTGCTTTCAGCCTGATGATCAGCCATGGGCAACACCATGAGCAAGCAGAAGGGAGGCCTGCTCTGACCTAGGGGAAATGTGCCCATGGGCTGTGAGACCAAAGTCCACAGGAGAAGCCTGCATGGAGATCCTTCCTTTGTGCAAATCCTTCCCAAGGAATATCGTTTCCTCCTTCAGTTCCACTCCAGGCGCTTCCTTCTCCCCTTCAGGCAGTGCCTTTAGCCTCCCAACATCAGGGCACTCGACTCAGACCAGCTTTGCAATCAGAGGGGTTGAGCTTCTTCCACAAGGTCCTTTACCACATGCCCAAAGCAGCTGTCCCCTCTTCTCCTCAGCAGCTGAAAGGAAGGGATGTACCCTATAGGAGCTGGATACCAAGACTAATCAGCTAGGACAGGGGCTGTTTCTTTGCACCCCCATAATGGTGATCCAGTCCCCTACATTTTGTGAAACATCAGTACCTCTTCTGTGCACTACCCAGTGAGAGGCCCTTGGCCCCATCTGGAGGACCCTACTCCTTCCTATACTCCACGCCTCTGCTCTGTGCCCTAGCACCTTCTCAGACTCCCCTTCTGTCCCTTTCAGAGGTCACAGTAAGTCTTGAGGGAGCCCTGGGACCCAAGAGGAAAGACAAAGTCAGCAGAGCCCTCATCAGACAAGGTGCACACCAGCAGTGTTTTTCCTGATGGCAGGGATATACTGATGCCCCATACAATAGGAGCTAAGCCAGCAGCAACCATTTTGGTCACCCCAGCTGCATCAACAGTGAGGGGCTCTGCTGGCCCTGTCCCAGGGAGGGGTGAATGATCTTTTCATGCCCTTAGCTGCCACAGCTGTGCAGGCAGAATGTTTTCACATGGAGCACACGCAAGACATGCTCCACTCCTCTCCCTTTCTGCCTCCACTCAAAGCACCCACTGAGAAAGCCAAAGGCCACAGTTCCCTCCTGACCCAAGCAGAGCAACTCTGTTAACATGGGGAGGGGACTACAACAATCAGTGGATGCATCCTATTGTCCAGAACCTTGAAACCGCTCCCTCCCCCCCAACAGCACAGTTCCCAACCAACCAAGGACTGATAACAACTTCTAATTCCACTGTGTGGAGATAAAGACAGCTCTGGCTGCCCTCAGAGTCTTTCTTTCATTAGGAGCCATCATAGCAATTCAACATGGAGCCCAGCTAGCCTTTCTGTATAGTACATGGTCCAGGAATTTGTCTCCCATTTACTATCAAATATCCTCAGAAGTCCTTTCACCCACTTCCCAAGGGAGACTATCGCTATCTTTGCTGTGTACCAAAGGATGAGATTAGCTCTTTGCTGTACTTAAAGAACTGCCTCTAAATGTTGCTAAACCCATCCAATACATCCTGCACAACTTGCATGAGCTCCTTTGGCTAGAAAACTATGCTGGGGAAATCAGAAAAGATATTCTTGAGATAGGACAGTTTGGGAGAATAGGGGTGTCCACGGGTAAAGTACCCAACATTTCCCGTGAAACTCCATGAGGGGTCAGTCCTTCATTCACTGAAAGATCAGAGCACCAGATGGTACAGGCAGCAAGGAGATGATGGAGGATTTAGATTAGGTCCCCTCTGCTCCAAACACCAGTAACTCCATCTGCAGAAAAGTCCGCACAACATTCTGAGAAAGCCATTGACAAATTCCCAGTCAAGAAATCCTATTGAAGTTGGGAAAAAAGAAAAAAAACCACCACTGCAATTATTTTAAGTATCTGAAAACTGGGAAACAGAGACAGATTTAAAAAATATTTATATGGTGTATTTTTAGAGCTCTGACATTTAAAAAAAGGCTTAAATCAACCAGAAAGCAGGTAGAGATGCACCTCATAGATGAACTAAATCTGAAATGCATAAGCTTTTGTAAGCATGAGTTCATTTTGTCATCTCTCCCCTACCTTCTCTCTGACTTTAGACTAACACAGTTAACACTGCCTCCTCTCAAATCAACCAGTCATTCTGGAAATAATTAGAACAGAACACCAGCCAAAACACAGCCTTCTTGCCCAAACCCAACAGTGACCTCAACTGTGGACCACAAGTCAGCACCATCCTACAGATGACAGTCTGGAAACCTAACCTCTATGCTGGGCATCTGAGGAAAAGAGTATCATAAGCGACATTCCATAATTATGTATTAAAAGCCAACTTCTCTACACCTTCATCACGAGTACAGAAGCCACAATCCCTTGATACAGGCCCAAAGGTCTATACCCTCAGTATAAGAAATCATCCACATCACATCATTTAAGCTCATAACAGGGAAGACAGCTTAACAATTAGCTGGCTTCCCTCAACCAGCCAAATGGGGTGGATTGGCCACAACTACAGTTGATAACTTTGTTTGGACTCCAGACTCTGGGATTTCATTGTAAACCCCAAGCTTTCGGATTTTTGGACTATTTTAACTTTAACCCCAACATGTCCAGAATGTAACCACTTTCCAACCACCTCTATATCACCCTGAACATAAACCTATTGAAGGAGACTGATCAACTTACAGACTTACCTGTGGCAAGTCTCTCCTCTTGAGAAACTCTACCCACTTGGAAGGAACCACATTGTCAGAGCCTAGCTCTTCTGTTTGTCCCTTTAGAACAGGTCTTAAAGCATTTCATAGCCACTGAATTTGTCTCGCCTCTTGGCAGCTAAATATCTTCCCAGTTTGTAGATAGCAGAGGGATGAAGGCCTAGATTTCAGTAATGCTCTCCTGTTCATAAGGTCAGGTACCCTCCCCACCAAAATCTCCCCTCCCTGAAAAGGAGATGGCCAGGGTGAAGCTAGAGCAGTAATTTTTCAGCCATGGATGCAGGCACGGGGGGCTGGCAGCTGGGCAGGAGCCACACTGAAAGGTACCACTTTTCCCTGCAACGGAAGCACGGCCAGCGTTAGGATCCACTGCTTCACAGAACAAGCTGGTTGGGGGAGGTCCCAAGCAGGAGTCTCTAAGGCTATCCACAAATGCCTGTCCCAGTTCTAAGGGCTGGGTACCTCTTAAAAGACAAGGCAGTCAGTAAGTGGTGGAGCAGGGAATGAAAGCAGGAGTCCAAAATCCCAAACCTGTTCAAAGCACGTGGACCGGAGAGACAATCTTATTCAATACAGATTCCATAAAACAGCTCACACCCCATTTATTATTTAAAATATTTTGTTACAAAAGGAAAAAAAAGAAAACATACAATGCAGTATAAAAGATTGACAACGTCATCAAGTTTATTACACAATTTCCAACCTATCAGAAAGAGACAAACAAATCAAGTCACCGAGAAAGAAGGAGGGGGAGGGGGAAGGGAAGGGGGTGGGTTCAGAGCTTCACTTCTTGGTTAATTTTTCTTTTTCTTTTTTAAATTTTTTTACCCACTATTCTGAAATAAACTAAAAATTTGCGTCATTAAGTAAAAAAACAAAACCAAACCAGAACTCTCTCCTGCT